CCCTCACACCTCCTCTCCCAACCTCCAAACCCCCCCTTGTGGGGACACCAAGACCCCCACACGGGGACTGCAGCATCTCCAGTGGCCCCAAGGCGATGGGGGGGGGGAAGGGGGACCTGCTTCCCAGGTGGGGTTCCCCTCCACCTCACCCCCTCTCCCCCCCCCCCCCCCCCAAGTTTTGGGGGGTCTCCCAGGGGCGTCGGGGGGGGACACACAGACACGGTGACATCACCGGATGGCAATCAGCCCGACGTCCATCAGCTTCTGGATCTTCTGGGCAATGACGGGGTTCTTCAGGTGCCTGGGGGGGGGGAGAAGGGACACAACAGATGGGGGGGTCAGAGGGGACATAAGGACACCCAGACTCCCCCACCCCCATGGCTCCAGGGAATGTCAGGGACTCCCCCCCCACAGTGACACCCCAAGAGACGTTGGGGACCCCCAGTGACACCATGTGAGGTGCTGGGGACCCCCGTTGACACCTCAGGGACCCCCAGTGACACCCTACGAGGTGCTGGGGACACAGTGACACCTCAAAGAACCCCAGCGATCCTCTGTGAGGTGTTGGGAACCCCCAGCAACAGCTTAGGGACCCCCGGTGACACTCCAAGAGGTGCTGGAGACACACAGTGACACCTCAGGGACCCCCTGTGAGGTGTTGGGGATCCCCAGCAACACCCCCATAAGATCTTGGAGACCAATCCATGAGATTGGTCACGATGACACCAGGAGGGACGGAGCACAGTAAGGGGGGGAGGGGGGAACTTGTGCCACCCTGAGGGCACTGGGGACACCTCGGGGACGCCCCCCCCCCCCAGCCCCACTCACTCGCTGAGGGCCTGGGGGTCTTTCTGCATCTGCTCGAGGATGAGGCGCATGGCGGGGTCGCTCATGATCTGCTGCACCTCGGGGTCGGCCATGGCGCGTCGCTTCACCTCCTCGGGGTTGTCGTTGCGGTTGTACTGAGCCAACAGGCAGCGTTGGTAACCCTCAGCAGCCTCCTGTGGAAGGGAGGAAGGAGGAAAAGGGGTGATTGTGCTGTCATCGTGGTCTCCAAGGAGGCTTGGGGGAGGGGGCTGAGGAGGGGGGGGGGGGGGGGGGGGGGGGCTCACCTTACAGTTGGCATCAAGGTCCAGGGCGCGCTGGTACACATCCATGGCTTTGCTGTAGTCTTTCATGGCCTCCAGTGCTGCTGCTTTTCGGGTGTAGCCTTTAACTGTAGGGAAAAACAAGGCTGAGGGGTTTGGGGGGGGCACTCCAAAAAAACACACCCCTCCCAGAGTAAAGAACGGCCCCCAAAGACACTCCTGCCCAGCACACAACAGCTGGCACGGCTGCACTTACTGAAGGTGGGCTCCAGGCGGATGCATTCCTCACAATCCTGGGGGGGGGGAGAAAAAAAAAGGGGGTGGGGGGCAGTAGTGGCAAAAATTTGTCCCTGAGGGGATCCCAAAATCCTTGAGAAAGCACTGGGTGTTGGGGATAAGCCCAAAGGTGCCCACAGAACCCCAACATTTGCACAAAACAGCCCAAAGGGAAACCTGCTCCCCCTCCCTCCAATCTGGATCCTCACCCCATAGAAACCTCAAACCCTTAAACCAGAGCCTCAAATTCTCCATTTATGCCCCAAAATTCATTTATGGACTCCCCCAGACTCCCTGGGTGAGCTCTGAACCCCCAAACTGGGTTCCCAGACCCCCTGGATATCCCCAAAGCCCCAGACCCCATCCTCAAACTCCCTCAGCCCACACCAGGTACCCCCCAAATCCCCCAATCACCACTCCCCAGTCCCCCCAGGTGCCCTCAAACCCCCCCAGCCCCACTCTGCAGCCCGTCCCCAGGTCCCCCCAAACCTCACAGCCCCCCCGGGGCCCCCCACCTTCAGTGCCAGTGGGAACTCCAGCAGCTTGGTGTAGCAGGCAGCACGGTTGCTGTACAGCTTGGCATCGTGCGGGTTGCGCCGGATGGCCTCGGTGTAGTGCTTCATGGCACGGGGGTAATCCCCTTTTTTTGGGAGGAAGAAGGAGAGGAGGGGTCAGTCTCATATTTTGGGGACCCCTGCTCCCCACTAATTCCCAACCTTCACCTTTTTGGAAGCACTCATTGCCTTTGTTCTTCTCCTCCAGCGCCAGGTTGGGGTCAATGTACGCCAGCCTCTCCTGCTCCTTGAGGATCTTCTCTGCCTGTACGACACAATGTGGGGTTGGAGGGGAGGGAGGGAGGGTCTGCACCCTGCAGCCCCCTCCCCCAGAACTGCCCAGCAGTACCTGCTGGCACTTCTTGAGCACATCGGGCGTGCGGTGCTCAGCTAAGGACTTGTTGTAGAAATGCACAGCATCCTTATAGCGCTCCTCCTTGAAATACGAGTTGCCGATGCGGGCGTACGCTCTGTGTTTTTGGGGAAGGGGGGGGAAGCAGCGTTAAGGGATGTCCCCCAAAATGTGCTCCCCCCACTCTCTCACTCCCCCACCCCACCAAAAAAGGTGTGCTCTGCTCACTTGGCAATCTGCCTGTAGTCCTCCCTGTTCTCCCGGCCCACCTCGATGGCTTTTTCGCACAGCTCACGGCAGCGGTTGTAGTCGCCCTTCTCGAAGTAAACGGCTGTAGGGGGGAGTAGGTTGTGGATGGGAGGGGGGTAGAGCTGTTTTTTGGTGTGCTTACCCCCCCCGGCACGCCACTCACCAGCCTGGTTGGTGATATAAGTCATGTTGGTGGGGTCCAGCTCCTCAGCACGGTCGTAGTGTGCCAGGGCAGTGGTGAAATCCTTCCTCTTGTAAGCCTCGTTGCCCAGCTCCTTCTCCCGTTGTGCCTGCAGCCACCATGGCCAAATTGGTTCAAAGGCCTAAAACTGGAGAAGGGGGGGGTCTGGAGAGGTGTTTGTGGGGGGGTCTGACCTGCTTCTTGTTCTCAGGGAGGTCCTGCTGCATGGGCTCGGGGCGCGGGTCGGGCCGAGGAGGGGGTGGGGGTGGCGGGGGGGACATGGCTTCCTCCTCCTCCTCAGCCCCACTCAGATCCACCCCCAGGAGAACGCTGAGCGTCGTCATCACCCGCGGGTCCTGCAGCTTCCTGGGAGAGCATGGGGGGTGTGGGTGGGGGTCGGCTCCCAGATTTCCTCCAAAGCTCCCCCCAGAGCCTAAGATCCATCCCAGCGCCCCACTGAAACCCACCCAGTATCCCAAATCCTGCTCCAAAAACCTCCCCAGGACCCCAAGACTCATCCCCAAACTTGCTCCAACACTCCCCAGGAGCTTAAGAGCCACCCCAGATACTCCTAGAATTCGCCCTAGTTCCCCCCCATCACCCCAAATGCTGCCCCAATTAGCCCCGGTCCCCTCCCTGCACTCCAAATCCAGCCCCAAATATCCCAACCCCTACCCACAGCCCCAAATACCCCCAGAACACACCCTAATCCCCCCCAGAACCCAAAACACTGCCCCAAATCCCACTCTACTACCCCAAAACCCACCCCAGATCTCCCCTAAACCCAGCCCAGAATCCCAAATACTGCCCCAAATCCACATGTAGAGCTTCAAACACCCCAAACACCCCCTAAAACCCACTCCAGCCCCTCCAATGCTACTCCAAACACCCCCAGAACCCACCCCAGAATCCCAAATACTGCCCCAAACCCCACTCTAGTACCCCAAAACCCACCCCACATCTCCCCTAAACCCAGTCCAGAATCCCAAATACTGCCCCAAATCCCACTCTAGTACCCCAAAACCCACCCCAGAATCCCAAATACTGTCCCAAATCCACATGTAGAGCTTCAAACACCCCCTAA